CTTCGAAGTACTTCGACCAATGAATTTTGGCTGTGATCAGAAATTCGAAGCACAAGTTGTCCCTTAAAATCTGTCGTTAACTGTACCCGTCTCATAAGGTATGCTGCGGAACATTGTCTTGGGGCTGGTGTAGCACTTGCGCAGGCTGGGGCAAAATCAGATATGAATTACTGGGGATTGTAACAAACCTCTTAGAGCTAATATGCAAGCGTAAAGGTGCCAAATGAAGGGCTGAGATCGTTTGGGAAGTGGGCCCTGCCCACGGGTGCATGGAGACGCAGTGGACCAGGCCCAGGACATTACATCCTCCCCCGTCAACGCGGATCCCGCCTACGCCCGAGCTTTGAGCTCCACCAGGAGGCCCTTGAAGTGGGACAAGTGCTTGATGTCGTTTTCCTTCTCCCAAGTTGACTCGTGCTCCGGGAGGCCGTGCCACTTGACTAAGTACTTGGTCTTGGACTGCTTCTTGCGCTTCGTGAGAAGTGCCTCCACGATGTACAGCTCTTCGACTGCTTTGAGCACTACTGGTGCAGCTTTTGAAATGGGCCTTGACTGAACTTGTCAGGGCTTGATTTTACTTCTTCAGCCGATCGATGTTGAAAGCGTTGTGCATAGCCAGCAGGACGCTGGAAGCTCGAGTCGTGCGACATTTGGGTTGATTGTGGCTTCGATGCGAAACGGACCAATGAAGCGTGGAACGAGCGTTGGCTGCTCCGTGCGGTTGACCAGCTTTGCATGCGTGATCGGAATCGTACGTGTCGCCAGCAAGACCCACTCTTCCGCTGTATACGTGACCGTCGCCAGCTTCTTGTCGTAGTACGTCTTCTGGCGCTCTTGGGCCATTTGTAAGCTTGCTTGAGCACGTGCGATGAGTTCTTGTCGATGCTCGGCCATGTTCTTAACGAAGTCGTTTGGTGTCACCGACGAAAGCATTGGGTTGCGAAGGCGGTGTTCGGTGTCGAGCTCGAACGGACTGATGCCTGTGGACGTGGGTATAAGCGCCTGGTGGGCATACTAACTGTAAATTATCGCGAGGTGGACGGACCAATCGGTCGGTGCCAAGGTACGATACTTGACAGCGGAGCGAGTCTCAAGCGTACGATTTCGTCGCTCGGTGGCCCCGTCCGCCTGTGCCCGACATGCAGTTGTCATACATTGCTTGATGCCCATGATCTTCATCAGTTCCTTCCAGAAACCACTTGTGAACTTGGGGTCGCGATTGCTGATGATAACCGACGGAAGCCCGTGGTGGCGGACGACGTTGTCGAAGGAAGCGATAGCGGTCTATGGAGCCGTAGCGGTAGGCTTAGTGGCCACGTACTTAGGCCGCTTGGACAATTTGACGACGACAGTCATGATCTCATCATAGCCGCGAGTAACTGGGAGTCCCGTCACCCAGTCGATGGACACTGTGTGCCAACACTCGGAAGGTGCCTTGATGGGGTTCATGGTGCCTTTTGCTTGTAGCGTCGTGGACTTGTACCGCGAGCACGTCTCGCATGCGGCGATGTAAAGAGCTACGTCGTCCTTCATCCGCGGCCAATAGGACCACTGCGCCAAGAGTTGGTACGTGCGATGTGCACCGGGATGCGCAGCAGAGGCTGCGTCGTGAGCCTGCGAGATGTGCAGTACTATCAAGTCCGGTGAGTAGGGCACACACAAACGCCAGATCTGGTTTGTGGTGCGGACATAGTAAAGACCCTGGTGTTCGTGAAAGCGGTAAGCATCTGAGTACGACGCGTCATGCGCGTAGGCGGCCATGTGATGTATACCTCGCGAAGGCGCTCGCTCAACACCACTGGAGAGAGGTCGATCTGGGTGAAATGCAGCAGCAAGACAAGAGAAATATGTGACGGCGATGCTCTTGGGTGATTAATCATCAGCCAAGTACCCGCTGTTTCTTGTGCTAAAGACGACGAAGTCCAAGTGAAGGTATATGCTGCCATCCAAGAGAACTTGACGGAGCGACATGGCTTCGGCAAGTCCCTGTGGAAGTTAGTTGCTCTTATGTAAGAACACAACAACTTTCTTATACTGGAAATCCAAGCGCATGGTGAAACTCGAACATCTCTCACTCATTCCTCAAGTGCCATTAAGAGGCCAGGCCGTGCGGCGAGGAAAGGTGTTCTTGTTGTGTGTTCTTGTTGTGGGATGACTGCTCCCTATACTTCACTGTCGATGTGATACCATATGTAAAGGAGACCAATGACATGTTGGAGCGCATACCATTTCGTTACAATCATTGTTTGAAGTGGCTTCACGAAAATCCGGCTGTGTCTGCAACTGAAAAACGCATGGCTATCGTCAAACGCAATATTCAAGCCTCAGAGGACATACCATGTGAAAACTTAACTCGCTCAATTGAAAAGGGCG